AACTGATCAATTTCATGTAATGCCTAATAGTTTACAGACGACAATGATGATGATAATTCTGGGCAGCACAGAATATGGATTTGAGATGAATGATACCTGTTCAGTGAGTGACCATCCAGACGTTTGACTATGCGTTCTCAACATCATCGATCGAGGATTCTGCGGAGTGAAACGTTTTTTCAGCTGTGAAGCCCACAGACGTCTGGCGGCACGCATCTTAGCAATTTCCTAAAAATATCCAATTCAAAATGTCTACCTAAATAAAAACTTTCAACCTCGAACACTTTTCCATGATACAATCTAATAACTGTTTTCTGAATGACCATCGAGAAGTTTGTGAATATACATCCACATAGGTTATGAATCCATATAAGTCAACATTTTGTGTTCATATAGCACTATAAGGCTATAAGATGCCTGATCGATAACAGTCTACTCACCATATAGAAGTTCATCGAGATACCCCAGAAGAACGACAATCGTGGTGCAAATTGGTCGATTTTTAAGCCGGCGTCCAAACCTGTTTGACAATATTGGATACCATCAGCAATAGTAAACGCCATCTCTAGTGATGCATCTGCACCTGCTTCCTGAAATTTTATTTAAAATTTAACCAACTGATGAATGGTGCGGATTCAGTGAGAGAGATTCCTTGATAGGAATCTACAAACCTGCATATGGTAACCGGAGATTGAGATGGAGTTGAATTTAGGCATGTATTTGGCTGTGTACGCGAAGATATCGCCGATAATTCGCATCGATGGATCTGGAGGGTAGATGTAGGTGTTTCGGACCATGAACTCCTTCAGGATATCATTCTGGATCGTACCGGCCAACTTCTTGCGTTCAACACCCTCAAAGTTTAACGACTTTAATTCCAATTCATGTTTCCATTGGATAATTTTTCTTTCATATCATCAACTTTATGGCTTATTATAATCATAACTGCAATACTAATTTTAACACCACACACCACTACAAACCGGAATTTGGTGATGATTGTACCAATATCAGGATGATTTAGGTGTATGTTAGCCAAGATTTTAAAGAGTAATAATGATTAAAATATCGAATGATAACTGCAACAATGATAGTAACAAAGGCTAATGAACACAGCAACAAGCAAAAGTTCTAACAGTTTCTTCAGCGCCAGCGATGAACATAGCCAAAACGGGGATAACTGCACCATTCATAGTCATACTCACGGACATCTTATCCAAAGGAATTCCATCGAAAAGTCTCTTCATATCCTCAATCGAGTCAACAGCCACACCGGCCATACCAACGTCACCGTACACACGTGGATTATCCGAATCATATCTGCATTTATCATTTGTTAATTTCCCGATTCGTCACCATCATCATTGCTGATAATCAACATCTACCACTATTATCACTTTTTGATAGTGTCATTCAGACCATGTTCCGTTTAGCCCTCTAGTCGATCAGGGTAGTCGATGTACCTAACTGACAATACTGGAAATCATCATTCCAATTTGGCATCCAAAAACTATCATGATCAGACAAAATTGCTAAATGTTGTATTATCGTTATTATTCACTTAAATCGTTACTCAGTATCGCTATCACTGACGATATCATTCTTGAATTATATCCCATCGTCGTTATGGAATTGAAATTGCTATTGTTCCTGCTATTAATGTTCATTCGCATCATTTTGATGATTGCCTATGTTTAACATTCAAACACTAATGCAACTTGTCCTATTGATATTCAGACGAATCTCTTGAAATATCTCAGTTTTAGAAGTGCATTGCTAAACTTTCAGCGTTTTTTTTTTCTTGTCTTCACATTAGCTAAATTTCTATTCCTTATCGTCTTCCCATCAGTCTCATTGCTAGTTGATGATGTTTGAGTGATTGGAATAAAATGCTGTTTTAAAAACTGATTGATATTCGAAAGCATAATGAACTAGTTGAGTAGCTCATTACGCACATCCCGACAGTTTATTTTGTGAATTTAAAGCTCAACCAAAGAACTCAAATAAACTTTCAAGTAAATAACAACTGACTCAAAGCCGTCAATCGCACTGAACATAACTCACTTCAGATAAACAAATGCAATGCTCATTCGAAATCATTTAACTCTTCTGTAACAACTGTTGCTAAGAAAAACTGATGAAGCTGAGACCAATTTACTGCCTTAACAATGCTCAAACTAAAAACTATCACTGACGAAAACATTTTGCATCGTTAACAAATCAACATCTAAACATGAAATCGTCGAATTTCTTTCGAGACCACAATTTTTCATCTGATTCTAAGGAGCTATTGAAATTGCATGGAAACGTGATGACGTGATGAAAATAGTGGTGATTAATTGAACTGATTCGAAATCAAGTTGTGAAATAATTTTACCGGAAAATTTTGTTCTCTCATTATCAGAGATAAGTTCAGGTAATTTCAGTTTGCAGAAAACCTTAAGCGATGGAATTTTAACACCCAATGGAACTTCGAAACTCCGTAAAATCAAAAAATGGAAATTTTAGGAATTTGTATTGTATTGAATTACCCTCTGTGAGTGGCCAAGTCGAACGCTACGGAAAGACCTTGCTGACCGGCCTTAATGTTATCCTTGTAGAACTTATTGGATTCTTCGACAGTCGAGAAACCAGCGTATTGTCGGATTGTCCACGGTCTTTGAGTGTACATAGTTGGGTAGGGACCTCGAGTATACGGGTACTTGCCGGGTAACTAAAGACAAAAACACAGAATCGTGAAATAGTTTCAGGTACCAAGTAGTTGAGAATCATAATGAAAACAACTCATTAGCCAATATATGGGAGATTTATGGTGACTTCAAGCAATTGTATATAATCTCACTATCACAGACGAGTGAAAAACGACTGAAAAATGACTTATGGTTGATCGATTCGAAAAAAGCATGTGAATGCTTGAATAATTCTAGTATCCTGTGGTGAGCAATAGTAGCAATAAAAGTTATGAGTTTCAGCTTATCACGTAAGCCAAATATGAATCGTGAGGGTCGTCCGATCACAGAAGTGAACACAAGCCCGAAGTACCTCAGTGTCTCGGTCCTTATCACATTCACGATCCAGCGGTGTGTAAAGGGGTTTGATGAGGATGTTCTCGGGGGTATGCCATGCCAAATCGTTCGGATCTTTGCCCTTCATCGCCTTCTTCGCTGAAGCGGCCCATGCTTCGTGTAACGGTAGAGGCTTGTATTCAGCATGTGCACTGCTTGTTGTCGCTAACGCATAGCGCTGAAATTGCGCACAAATAAATAAACGGCTGATGTTAAAATGAAACATTTTTCATATGAATACTTTATGAGGACAGGAAATTCTGAACTAATAAGGTAAATCCTCAGGCATGAACTAATCCCTCATTACTTTATCTGTACCAATTTCTAAATGTCATCGTAGTACTTCGATCAATTGAAAGTACTGATACGCATG